TGCACAGAAGCCCGTTGCATGGAGAGCTTATGTAGGTATAATGAAGCTCTACTCCACAAAAAGTAATCCACATCCTTTACATGGAGAATGACTTTCAAGAAATTTCACACAGTATTATAAGCAGTTGCAGATCTCAGAAATAACACCATCAGATCTACAAAAAAATAGCAATAATAGGAACAGCATACATGCTGCACCAATACTTAACAGACACTTAGTTTTTTGGTTTAAACTTGTATCTGTTATGTAATACCCATCAATGTTTTTATAATTTTGATTTTTTTAACAATAACAACAAAATAATAAAGAAATTACGAGCAGGCATTATCAATTTAAAAGCTTTGAAAGATAGATAGAGGGGCAATAACAACAACAATAATAAACAAATTACGTGCAGGCATTATCAACTTAAAATCTTTGAAAGATAGATAGAGGGGAAGTCTTTCCCCTGCCACGCAATACCAGAACCAGGGGACATGCACTCAAATTGAGTGTTAAGAGAGTGAGAACAGGGAAAAGAAAATATGTCTTTACCCAGCATGTGGTTAGTCTGTGGAACTCCTTGACACAGGATGTGGTGATGGCATCTGGCCTATATGCCTTTAAAAGGGGATTGGCCAGATTTCTGGAGGTTACAAGCCCTGATGGGAATGCATTATGTAAAGATTCAAAAAGTAAAAAAATTAAAAGGAAGGTACTTCAAAATGGCAGATGTGAGGAGGGTATCAGGAGACAGGTATCTAGTTGTCTCGTGTGCTCCCAGAGGCATCTAGTGGGGCCACGGTGAGATACAGGAATCTGGACTAGATGGGCCCTTGGCTTGATCCAGCAAGGCTCTTTTTAAGTTCTTATGTTCTTATGTAAAGATTCAAAAAGTAAAAAAAGTAAAAGCCAGACTATGAAAAATATATGACCTAGAAAGGAAAATAATTGTTGAAATAATGAAAGAATTAAAACAGTGGGTAACAGTGACAACAAAGAAAACTGAACGATATGATGGATGCTTGAAGCTTGAAATAATCAATGATTATTCTATACATCACTAGAAGAAAATGCAGAGGAAAAGAAATAAGGTCCATGTAAAGATGAGGCTTTAAAATTTTGGAAAGAAATGTGGGAAAGCCCAACCAGACATAATAAAGATGCCTCATGGATTAAAGATATTTGTAAAGAAACTCAAGGAAAACAAATGGATGATAATTGTAATAACAACTGAAATGAACAAGAGGCAAGTAAAGGATGTGAAAAATGGAAGTGCCT